GTATTACTGAAAGAATAATTTTTCGGTCCCTCTGATGTGTATAAAATGGCTACACAGAACCTTTATGAATTTCGAGGAGCAAATGAAATAAAAGAAGACTTTTCTCATCTGAGACTAGAATTTTTTAATTAGCTGGAAATTATTCTCTATATTTGAGTGCAGCTGATTCCACTGAAAATGTACCAGTGATGAGACTGCTGCATTTCACACTTGTTTTGCTTATATTTGTAATTGTGATATGGCAGCTTCTTTCTGCTTTTTTAAATCAAGTAATATTTACTCAAGTTGATTCTCTTGCCCGCTTGGAGAAACAGCACTCCCAGTGGACAGGGTTATGGGACCTTTTTTTAATCAATGTTTTAGTGCAGTGCTTCTCAAACTTCAGTGTGCATATAATATCACCTATGGATTTTTTTTTTTTTTAAGATTTTATTTATTTATTTGACAGGGGGAGTGGGAGAGGGAGAAGCAGGCTTCCCGCAGAGCAGGGAGGCCGATGCGGGGCTCGATCCCAGGACCCTGGGATCATGACCTGAGCCGAAGGCAGACGCTTAACGACTGAGCCACCCAGGCGCCCCTGGATTTTTTTTTTTTAAGCTTCAGATTCTAATTCAGCAGGTCAGGGCTGAGGCCCAAGATTCTGCATTTCTGGCAAGCTCCAGGTGATGCTGATGGTCTACAGACCATACTTCGAATAGCAAGATTTTAGAATATCTCTATAGAAAAATCCCAAATTTAATAATTCTGAAATTGGAGGGTGAGGGTAGAATTAAATATGTTAACATTTCTAAGGACAGGTCAGTGATTGAATCTGTGCCTTCATAAAGGTCAGTCTGATGGTTCATATCTTGGTGGATGCATCCTTTTACAGAGGTTACTTCCTTTGTGCCCCTCTACTACTCTCTTAGTAGCAAAGTAATGAACAACCTAAATGCAGATTCCTTGAGAATGAAGATTATGTTTTACTGTATTCCAATCTTCATATTCCTGGAGCCTAGCAAATTTCCATGCACCTAATAGATGGCCAATTAGTGGGTTGAATTGAATCAAATTGAATTGATTGAATTGCATTGGAACAATATAGGGATGACCTGGTTTTGTACCTTTCTAGACCACTTCCTCTTTAAGAGATTTATATTGCTTCTATGTATAAATTTAAAATTCTTTCAGTAATTTATAACTGACCAATATCCAGAGTTATATTTTTTCAATTATATTTCTTAAAATGCAACATGAAAAAATAAATGCAAATACAAATTAAAGGTAATGATGAAGATTTAAGAATCCCAAAATTCTATCTCCACTAAAAGGACTTTGGCAGTCATTTCTTATTTACAAATTTTATTCTAGGTCCTGAACTTTTTTGGCAGATTCAAACCTGTTCTTCTCACTTCTGAAAGAGTACAGATTATTATGGAGTCGTCAGTAAATTGTAAAAATCCAGATTACAGTTAGTATGTTTATGTCCTACAAGGATTTCAATAAATCATAGTATCAGTAAGCATGAAGAAATTTAAATACTGTTTTTTCATTATTTCCTTTCAGTATTTGGTTTTGCTGCTTTTATATTTTAACAACTTTCTTGAGATACTGTTCACGTACCATATAGTTCATTCATTAAAAATCTATAATTGGCTTTTAGTATATTCAAAGTTGTGTAGCCATCACCATGATCTATTACAGAATATTTTCATTACTCCAAAAAGAAGTCCTACAGCCCTTAGCCACCACCCCCCAGTTCCTCCATCCCCTAGCAACCACTAATTTACCTTCTATCTCTGTAGATTTACCTATTCTGCACATTTCCCATAAATGGAATCCTACAAGGTGTGGTTTCTTTCAGTTAACATAATGTTTCAAGGTTGATCCTACATGTTGTAGCATGTATCAGCACTTCCTTCTTTGTTGTGACTGGATAATGTTTCATTTTGTTTATTTATTAGTTGGACATTCGGATTGTTTCCACTTTTCAGCTATTAGTAATAATGCTGCTGCAGATATTCATGTACAGTTTTTTTGTGTGAAAATTTGTTTTTATTTTTCTTGTATAACTAGGAATGGAACTGCCAAGTCATATGTTAACTCTCTGTTTCACTCTCTGATGAACTGCGAGACTTTTCCAAGGAGGCTGCAATATTTTACATTCCCATCAGCAGCATATAAAAGATTCCAGTTTCTCTACATTCTTCCCAATGCCTATTATCTTTTTTATTATAACCATACTACTGGGTGTGAAGTGGTATCTCATTGTGGTTTTGTTTTGCATTTCCCTGATGACTAATGATGTTGAGCATCATTTCGTGTGCTTGTTGACCATTTTTGTATGTTTTTTGAGAAATGTCTGTCCAATTGCTCATTTTTTAGGTGGGCTAGTTGTCTTTTCATTATTGAGTTGTAGGATTTCTTTATTCTAAATACAAATTTTTAAAATTAGATACGTGATGTGCAAAAAATGTCCCATTCTGTGGGTATTCGTTTTGCTTGATAGTGCCCTTGAAGCACAAGTCTTCAAATTTGATGAAATCTAATTTATTTTTTCTTTTGTTGCTTGTACTTTTGCCTTATCCAAGAAATCAGTGCCTAGTGCAAGATAATGAAGGTTTACTCCTATGTTTTCTTCTAAGAATTTTATAGTTGTTGCTGTCACATATAGCTCTTTGATCCAATTTGAGTTAATTTTTATATGGTATTCTTTTATTTTTTAAGTGCTGTGATCTTGGCTACCATGCAAGTCTGAACAGGGCCCTGAGAACATATCTGTCTGCAGAGTATAATCTTGAAACTTCCAGACATGAAGGCTTGGACATTATTGAGAATGCAGTTGACAATTTGGAGCCCAGGAGTGATAAGCAGAGATTCATGGAGATGTACCCTGCTGCATTCTGTCCACCAATGAAGTTTGAGTTTCAGTCTCACATGGGTGATGAGGTCAGTAATTGATTGTTTTAAAACCAATGAATTGTCTTTTCATTGTATTAGTTACTCTTCACCTGCTATAACCTAAGAGTTGTCAGAATTCCCAGTAGTGTTCTCTCTCCTGCCTTTGTTTGGGATCTTAGCTAGTTACATCCTAAGATCAACCACTACCACCTTCGCCCGCCCTGCCCCCAGCCACAACCACCTCTTAAAGCAAGGGTGGAGAGCTCAGATGCCTACAGAGGCCAAACCTATGTACAAACTCGGTTGTAAGCACTACGCTGTCTCAGGATAGTTAGTCCTTCCTCCACCTGTAGACATTCAAATTTAAATTCAAAATGAAACATTTTGCTGGCCCAACAGAATCTCTCTGAAGACTTCTTGTAATCTTCATTTAAAGATCCCAATAAAGAAAAATAATTGTAAATGACAGGAGCATGGGAGAGAGGGGGGAAAATGCAGAACATTTTTTAAGACTCACATTGTCTCCAAACTGGTAAAGTGAGCCTTAGAAATGATATATCTTAGGTTCTTTATATGAATTTAGCTTTCTATCCTGTTTTGCCCAAGGAAGAAAATCCATCTAAGCTGTGTACGAGTTGCAGTGGTGTATTTTATCGTCTGCGGCCGGGAAAACAAGAAGAACCAATTAATGAGCACACTATATGGCACTTGGTCTTCCAGCTGTGCAAAACAATACTCATAGATTAAAAATTCAATGTTAGCTTATTGTGGTGACAGTATGTTTTTAAAAATAGATACAATACCAATGACAGATTTCTTTAATGTCATACTTTTTTCTGAGACATCTAGTGTTAAGATTTATAAGATATGTGTGTGCCTGCTGTATTTCTAACCCAATTTTATATTTGCTTGATCTGATAGAGTAAATTACTCCATTAGAAATGGTAAGCGGTTTTTATGCCAATAGCACATGAATTTGAGAGACAGGTGGCTTATCCCACACAGAGTTATGTTTCCAAAACCAAATGATTACTGCTATAATTTTTCAGTTACGGATATGTCAAACATAGAATGATAAAATATCACAGATGAGTGACTTCAGTTGGGTTAGTAATTTTTCCCCTTTTTTTTTTTTTTTACTATTATTTTTAATAAAATGCGTCTGTTGCCCCCTTTTTATAGCAAGTTCTGCCAGGGAGCAATAATCTCGGTGATGTTTTGGGGACTCCATAAAAGGAAACCTCCATCTGCCGAGAGCATTTCTATGACAAGGAACATGAAAAGAAACTTTGTTTCTGGTGCACTTTTAATATAACATAATTAAAAGGCTCTAATTTTGACCTTAACCGTAATTGAGATCAGGTTACAAGAAGTGGCCTCTTCACATTCATGGTGAATCACATGATTTGGCTGATATTGGGAAGGCAAGCCATGGTTGAAAGATGCCAATAGTTACATTTTCTGAGTCTTTCCTCTGTGCCAGGCAGTGTTCTAAGTGCTTTCTGTACATGAACTCACTTCATCCCCACAAGGACCCCACAGTGTAGGAAATCTTAGTATCCCCATTTCACAGAGAAGGAAGCTGAGGGTTAGTAACCTACCCTGGTCACCTATCTGACTGCAGCTAGTAGGCTCTCCTGTCTCCCCTACTTTTGCCTGTGTGGTTCATGTGGGCCTTCCTTTGCACTCTGCCCTCTGCCCCTTAATCATCCCTAATTCCACCAGTGAGACCTCAGCATCAGAGCTCCCTCTCCAGCAACTGGCCCGTTCTTAGATGCAGCGAAGCTTCCTGCAGCTGCTGTCTTCCTCGTCGTATCCAGGCCATGCAGCTGCATTCTGCCCTTGACCCTTATGTAGCGTGTTCGTATTTAACACTGAAGCTTTGAGGCGGCTATTAAAAGTAAAGATGTCATTGGAATCTTGAGGGGATCCGTGTGACTCATGCAGCATCTAAGTAGGAAACCCGTGCCTCTGGAGGCCAGCTTGATGGCCCTGTTGTAATTGTGGTTTCTGATTCCCCCAGGTGTGTCAGGTCAGTGCCCAGCAGCCGGTCCAGGCCGAGCTCATGCTCAGGTACCAGCAGCTGCAGTCCCGACTGGCCACGCTCAAAATCGAGAATGAGGAGGTGAGCATGCTTTCTGCCCCGCAAGTCATCTGAATTCTAACGTATACTGGAAGACATTGTCACATGACCTAGGCATATTTAACATTCCAAATGCAATCTCTTCATCATACGTTTTCAGCTAAATCATGGTTCCTAAAATACCCCTTGTCGAAGATAAATCCAAAGATTCTATATTCTACCAGAGATGAATCCTTTACCAGGGATTTACTACATACACATGTAAACACACATTTTATTTTTAAATTTGTAATTCATACTGAAAATAGTTCCCATAAATGATCAAATTCAACATATGTGTCCAAGAATACACAATAGTGTGGAAATAAAACTTGACTGACATGTTAATTTAATCCTAACTTCTGAAATTAGTAATTTCTTTGCTTTTTTGTATTCTTTAGATTTTTGGTACTAAACATGGCATTACTGATCCAATTAGTACAGAAATCCTATTTTAAAATAGTACTTGAATGAGAATAGAAAACTTTATTTGCTGATATTAGTGGCTTTAGGTAGATAGAACATAAAATGTGAATTATAAATATATGTTGAGCCAGAAAGCAGTCATACATTTCAGCTGCCTGTTTCTGAAATTAATTTAATTGGATCCACGTTCTCCTTAAAATATGAACCACAAATGTTTCTAAGGCTCTCAGTCATCACCTACAGGAACCCAAATCAAACTAAACTCAAGTTAAAAAGTTTACTTATTGGTCAATGTTTGCATAGCCTCGGGCATGATGGAATCTGTATTCTGATGATATTATCAGGAATCTCTCTTTCCATCATTTTGAAGTTTTATCTTCACATGTCAGTTGGTAGTTGTTTTCCCTTATACTGGGATAGCCCAAACTACATGGTCCCTATAACTTGCCATCTCACCCCATCCCAGGGCCCTTATCTCTGAACTAGGATCCTTTATTGGCCTTACTTCAATCATGCATACTTCCAGACCAGCCATTACATGCAAGAAATGGGATTCTTTCATGGATCAGCTTAGATATTGTGCTCATGCATAGAGCCCTTTGACTGACAGCTCCACCAGAAATATGTATTTCTAGAGACAATTCCTGAAAGGAAGGAATGTGGGACAGAAAAAAGAAAACAATAACAATAATTCATCCTGAGGAAATGAATTACCAGAATGCACTTTGATACCCTCTTTTATTTTATAATCTCATGGGATGTTATGAACTCTGTGAACATATATTTGACTCTGTTAACAAACAGTGATATGTTTCTAGACCAGTCTAGTTTGGTCAAAATCCCTTGCAGCTTTCTGTCTTCCATTCTTTCTAGCAGAACCAAACCAGCCCTTATTCACACATGTGTTTAAGATGCAACCATGTGATTAAGGCTTCAGTCACTGTGTAAAGTCTCACAGATGAGCCTTTCCAAAGGAAAGCTATTGCTCTTCTGGAGGTGTTTTTGAGCTTGGGGTTTTGGCGAGGCATCACAAAATACTTGCCTGATGCAGTTTACTGGATCCTAATAGATCTACAGTTTGTACATCTAGTGACTTCCAATTTGTGTGTGTGTGTGTGTGTGTGTGTATTCTCCTGCTGTTTTACTTGGAAACAGTCTCTGAACTCTAGGAAAATAATGTGTTCTACACAAGGTCAAAACTGGCAGCCCACAGACCTGTTTGGTTTGGCTCCCACGTTTTTGGCCTGTTGAAAATGAGCAAGTCTGGCGATGCTAACCCTGCACTGCCTCATGAAGGGAAGAGCTGGGGTATTTGAATTCCACTTTGCCATAGTCATTCAACTCCCAGTTTTCTTACATTGGACTATTCCATTTCTCTTGCCTGTCTGGCCTCTGCAGGCCTTTGAGGTTTTGACCCTTAATGTTTGCCCTTTTGAGCATAATGTAGAGAAGCACAGGGTCCTTATAAACTAATAGTGGCAGGCAGTGCTTTCTGAGGGTTAAAAGCATTTATCATAGAAACAAATGAATTAGATTGTCCTGATGTTTCCAGTGAGCATGACTGGTGGTTTATGATCTGCTGGACATGGGACAAATGCACTGTCATAGAATGGGATTTCCAGTGAAAGGAAGATTTAAATTGGATTTTTTTTTTTTTTTTTTTAAGATTTTATTTGACAGAGAGAGACACAGCGAGAGAGGGAACACAAGCAGGGGGAGTGGGAGAGGGAGAAGCAGGCTTCCTGCTGAGCAGGGAGCCCAATGTGGGTCTCGATCCCAGGACCCCAGGATCACGACCCAAGCTGAAGGCAGATGCTTAACGACTGAGCCACCCAGGCGCCCCTTAAATTGGATTTTCGACAATCAGTAGATTTCCATTGATAGGGAAGAGGGAAAAGTTGTTTCAATATATTTCAAAATGCCCTGGAAGAACCTTGGTTTCCCAGAGGAATTTGGTCATCATCCAGGCTCTCCTTGAGGATAAGCCAAAGGTGAAGCTGAAGTCAGATGACAAGAGACTTTGAGAGCCAACTTAAGGGATTTTGACACTGTGAGTCAGCTCATTTCAGTACAATAAATATTTGTTCATCAGCTTCTACGTTCCACATATTTTGCCAGGTGTGGGGAGTACAGTGATGAATGTCACAGTTTGCATCTGTCTTGCGTGAGGGCCAGACTATAACAAGTCATTTATATAATGCAAAAAGTAAGGGATATAACTTGGAAACAAGATAGCAATCATTCCTGATTTGGAGTCCTTTATAGCACTCTTCTCTACCATAAATAAAGAATTTGCCTCTGATCCTCCACTGATAGAGGTCAAAAAATTGACACATTGCTCTCAAACCAAAGTATACAAGTAAAGAAACATGTATAATTCTCTGCCTCTGCACAAACAGATATACACAAAGTCCAAAATTCACTGGAAAGAGTTCAGTTAACTAAAAATAATTATGACTGCCCAGTGAAAAGATAAAAGTTGAAAGAGAATCTCATCCAAGTTTACAAAAAGCATGGACAGTGCAGCTAAATAGAATATGAACCTTTTCACCAAATCTTAAACAACTACAAATAATGGGCACCATTTGAAACTGTAGGAAGCCTTTTTAGAAGGGAATTTCCATGCTGAGAGCCTACAGACCATGGACAAATTTTGTTTGCTTTCCAGTGCTTGATTTTTAAAAATTAGTTGCTGTCATTTAAAAATTAGAAGTTTTGAATAAAAATATGTTTCCAGTTTCTAAACAGTTAGAAAGTCTGATCATACTAGACCTGCATTTCTGCAGGATGATAACTGGCTGGAGCTGAGATGCTCCCTTTAGACAGAGAGCATGTCCTTCCTGTTTGCCATGCTCCCCACCCAGCCCACTTGCCTTATTGTCACTACTTCCTTGGCCCTTGAGGATATATGAGTTTGCAGCACTGGCCTTAGAACAAAGAGAGCAGTAAGCATTTGTGAAATGGCCTCAGTATACTGGCACATAGTAAAAGCTAAATGAAGTTTTGAGAAGGGCTTCATTGAATTTGGGGTGGATACAGATTTATAATGGATTGTTGTCTCCTCACAACTTCACATTTGCCTGTTAGGCCTTTTAAATCATACGAGCTTTCAGTTTCAGTATGCTGCACACTTGCATCACTGGTACCTCAATCCTAATGATTTCAACCTCCTGTCAGCCCGCCAACAAATATTTATTAGTGCCCACTGTGGGTTGTACGCATAGAATTGGAGCAGAGCCTGCTGCCCACACAACTTTATCCTCATTTTTTGTTTGTTTGTTTTCTTTTTCTTAAACACTTTCAAAGCAACCTATATCTAAATAATCATTGGTACCTTTCTCACTATAAATATTCTCTAAGCTTATTTCAATCTAATGTTGCACAGTCTTGCACATATTCTTCAAGTTCACTTTTAATCTTTGTTTCAGGGATTTCAGCGTGGGGGTCATTCCCTCTGCTCCTTTCTTTCCAGGCTAGCTCTGGAGTAATTCCCATAGACTGCAGTTCCCTTTTCTTAGAGTTCCTCTCTCCGCCCTTTATCTAGACACAGCCAAAGAAAAGGAGAAGGAATTGTCTTAGTAGAGCAATTATGCTTTTAGTATTTTTAGTACAGCCTTAGTTTTAAGTAGTTTGCCCCATTTTCAGATCATTTGTCCCCACAGTTGGTCCAGCAGGTAGAGTTTTCTTAAGCGATCACTTCTGTGCCATGACTAAAGCCTCATGTATAAAATGAGTTTCTCTTAAGTTATAGATTTATCCCCCTGAAGGGAATGGAAGAGAGAGGAACCTGTGATTCCTCAATTAATTTGCAACACTGTTTAATGAACTGACAACCCCTTATAAATTTTCCTGTCTTTACTTAAAATCTTTAACCAAGAGTTTACTAGGGAGTAATTCATAGACTGTTCCAAAAATATATTCCTTACACAGGGTATTTTCAACTGTAATGAACAAGATTTTATGTAAACATTTGAAACAATTTTCATGGCCTGGGTAACTGAGAGAAGTAAGAGAGATTTTGGTTATACCTTGTAGAAAAATCACATTGCTCCCCAAAACATCCCATAATACCACTGACTGCAGCACAATGCCAAGTCATGGAAATCAGCGATCAAACCCTTAGGGGCTATCATCAGATTCTTCTAAGACTTGGTATAAGATGTGGAGCTTGATAATTACCTAATCATAATTACTATTTTTGATCTTCTCTGTGGCTTTAACTTCATTTTTTTTTTTAAGTATTTCTTACTTGCCTGCAACCTTCTATTGATGAAGTTAACAGTAGGAACCTAAGTAAAAGATAACTGCCATTTATCCGTCAAATGATAGCATTATCTTGACCAAAATTGAAAACAAGGATCAACTGTCATTCACGAAAACACTTTTTTTTAAAACATGTATTTTTAGAAGCAGTGTGTATGATGTGTGTGTGTGTGTGTGTGTGTGTGTAGTTTCAAATAAGCTTTAACTCCCTAACAGAAGCAGCTTGATCCAGAAGAATACCAAGCAGAGTGCGGAGAGTTTCTAGAAAGGGTCTAAAAGTGAGTCATGGGATAGGGCAGCCTAAATAGAGTGGTAGAGCTCAGGATGGCTGTCAGCAAAGCAAGCACATGTTGTTGGTGTGTGCTGAATGTTTCTTTGACATCTGTGGATTTGAAAGGAGGATGACTTCAACCTCTACCATTCATTCACTGAACTTTTTGGATAATCCCCTGTGTCCCAAGCACTGTGCTAGTGACGAGAGATACAAAGATTGATAAGCTGTCACTAACCTCAAGTCGCTCCCCCTGGAGATGGACAAGATAGCCCTCTCAGTGGTGTGGCAGGTCCTTGTGAGAAATGGAATTGGCATCATTCACCTCATTACCCAGCAAAGGCAAGGTCACTGGCATCTGTACCAGGAACGAGGGAAGACCATGGCCAGATGCTCTGCGTCTGCTCCTGCCTTCTGTGGGCTGTGCTGGCAATAAGTTTCTGTACCCTGGGCTAGTTAACTATGGCATTAATCCAGTCTCTCTGTGTGTGTGCATGTGTGTCTGGTCTCTTTCTGGTAATTTTTAACCCATCTGAAATGATATAGTGCTGCACTGAAATGCATCTGAGGTCAGTCATGGCAAGAAGTAAATAGGTGGGGAAGGGAAGGCAGAGCTGGGGGTCATCTTCACAGATGGACTGATGAGTCTTAAAGAATGAATAGGCCTGTGTAATGTGCAAGGCATAGTGTCATAAAACAATATGTGTGTTAGAGGTTGGATTGTGTTCCCCCCAAATTTATATGCTGCAGTACTAACCCCAGTAGTTTAGTATATGACATTATTTGAAGACGGGGTCTTCACAGAGGTAATTAAAGTGAGGTCATTAGAGTGGGGCTTCATCCAGTGTGATCGATGTCCTTGTATAAAGAGAAAATGTGCACACAGAAACAGAGAAGGCTGTGTGAAGAGACACAGAAGATGATCATCAGCAAGCCAAGGAGGCCAGCCTGGAACAGACCTTCCCTCATGGCGCTAGGAAGGAACCAGCACCTTGATGGCAGACTTTTGACCTGTAGGACAATCAACTGCTGTTGTTGAAGCCCCCAGCCTGGGTACTTTGTGACAGACAGCAGCCCTGGGAAACTAATACAGTGTATTCAGAGAATAAAGTCAAAACAACTGTTTTGTTTCCTCCAATGGTTGTAATGTCCTATGAGTAAAAAGGCAAACGAGCCAGTCTGCAGTAGCCCACAGAAGTCCCCTCTTCTCTGTGGTTCGTTTTGATTCTCAGCGCAGAGTCCCAGCCACCTGGGCACTCCTCCAGTGCTGTACATTCTTCGGGTTTTTCATAAATTCCTTGTCACGTTTTGGGCCTCTCCTACCAAAGCTAACTGCATTTTCCTGCTGCTAATAGGGAGTCATTACAAGCCTCATATTAGCTGTTTCATAGTTGCCTCATTATATTCCCTCCTTGTGGCTTATTAACATGACTTGTGTGTCAGAAGCTGGTGTTATTCTTCGTCGAGAACATCCCATGGGATAGTATGTAGTCCCAGCCATCCTGTCTGGTGTTTTCTGTCACATCCTTTATTCTTCCTGACAATTCCAAATTTAACCATGACACTCTTGCTTCAGAGAAAAAAGTTGAGAAAAGGGAAAAAAAAATGTTGACAATGACAGGAATCACAGGGCTGCTGCTGGGTCCACAGTTTGGGGGCCTGTTACAGTGGGACCTGCTGGTCCCCGGGAAAATGGTACCGCCTCCAAGACCTGGGGCAGTAAGGCTGGTGCTGGGACAAGGGTCCACTTCAGGGCCCGCAGTCGGTCCACAGACAGTCTGTTACCAGGTGCTTGAATGGGTGTGACACCCACCAGTTTCCTGAACAGGTTCCTTACAGGCAGGACTGGCTCTGCACCCCAGCTGAAGGGAGCTGGTGCCTGTCCCGGGTCCATCCCAGGATGCATAGCCAGGACCAAGATGTATGCCTGCCTCCAGGAGCGTAGACAGACATGTCTTCCACCTGGAGCCAGTTACAGGGCCACTTCGAGATCTGCAGATAGATGGAGGTCAGCAGGTCTGCCTCCAGGAGCACTGAGAAGCATGCCTTCTAGCAAGTCCCTGTACATGGAAGACTGCTCCATGACCAGGGCGGAGAGGGACTGGAACCCCATCACGGGCTGCTTCACCTTCCACAGCTGGGACCACAGTCAGGAGGCCTATTATTTGAGGCCCAAGTAGATGCGATTCTTCCTGGGTCCTTAGGCAGGTAGTTCTGGTGACAGGACCAAAGCCAAATAGGACCATAATGGAGTCCCCAGGGAGACCTGCCTATTTCTGGGTCAGGAGCCAGGACCAGGGTTGGCAAGCCTCCCACCTGGGCCCAGGCCTGCTTTCTCAGATTGGTCCTCCTCAGTCCTGGGCTCCACCAAGGTTTTACAAGTCCTTAACCTGCATCCCAAAGCTCCCACAAATGCACTTTTGTCCGTGGATGGCCGCCAGGTTACTGTTGCAGTGGGGCAGGGAGGAATATGTACAAGGGAACCTCCTATTTTGCTGTCTTGCTGATGTCACCTCTGGGGTGGTGAGTCTTCATTCAGCCTATAAATATGTAATCATGACTTCCTTAAAGTAACCACTTACAGTATTGTTTTTTTAAATAACCTTTAATATGCTTTTTTCCAGTCATATGTCTCCTTTGCATTGTGCACATCCCCAGCAATAATGACTAAGTCTGTTAATTTTCTTTGTACTTTTTTGTTTTATTTTATCACGTGATCTCTTTTAGTATCGGAACTAACACTGATTGCCATTATTTCTTCCCTAAACAGTATTTTGTTGATTAAAAGAGTAATTGAAACTATTTCTACTTCCTGTAATAGTGAACTGAGTCACTCAGCTGATTATTTCACATTTCACTGTCCTAAACAAGATGTATGGCCAAGCCTGAAGTCCATGGCAGAGAAAACCATATGTTGCCAAAAGGAAGAGCATCAAATATTTTGAACAAAAATAAAACCTGGTGATTCAGAACTATTAGTTCCCTGATTAGCTTGAAAAATAAGTAGACATTCACTCTAGAAGAGGATAGTCTCACCCTAGATTTCAGATAACTCCCAAAACGTCCAGCAAACAGACATCAGATCACAGAGAGATGCCCATAGGAACTCAATATTGACATTATCAGAAATGAACTGTAAAAGAGCTACTTACTGTGGTCGAGGAGATAAAAGCCAAGCTTAGATTTCAGTAGGGAACCATAACCTACAAACAGTGAAATAACAGATTTTAAAATGTACCACATAGAGATTCTAAAAGTGAGAACTACAGTGCCCCAAATTAACAAATCAGTTGATGGTTTTAACATCAGATTCAACACAGCTGAAGAGTGAATTATCAAAGTGGAGGACAAATCAGAAGAAAATAATCAAAATGCAGCATAAAAACAAAAGGATAGAAAATACAAAGAAAGGAGCACCTGGGTAGTGCAGTCAGTTAAGCATCTGACTTCGGCTCAGGTCATCATCCCAGAGTCCTGGGACTGAGCCCCACGTTGGGCTCCCTGCTCAGCTGGGAGTCTGCTTGTCCCTCTCCCTCTGCCCCTCCATGCATGGACTTGCTCACTCTCTTTCAAATAAATAAATAAAAATCTTTAAAAAAAAATACGAAGAGAAGGGTAACAGATATAGAGAACACAGTGATGTTTAGCATACTAATTAAACTCCCAGAGGGGAAAACAATAGAAAATGAGACAATATTTACAGAGATAAAAGCTGAAAATTTATTAGAGTTTATGAAAAATATCCCACAATTCAAGAAGTCCAAAAAAATCCAGGTAGAATATATTTTTTTAAATCCTTATATAAACACATTATGGTAAAACAATAGAAAACTTCAGGGGCGCCTGGGTGGCTCAGTTGGTTGAGCATCTGCCTTTGACTCAGGTCATGATCCCGGGGTCCTGGGATCAGCCCGAGTCGGGCTACTCAGCAGGGAATCTGCTTCTCCTTCTCCCTAGGCCCCTCCCCCTGCTTGTGCTCTCTCTCTCTCAAATAAAAAAATTTTTTTTAATGTAGAAAACTTTAAAAGTAGCTGGAGAAGCAAGCAAAGTGGCAATGGACTCACAGCAAACTTCTCATTCAACAGGAACATAGAAGCAGGAAAATATAGTGATTATCTTCAATGTATTGAAAGAAAATAGGAGGCGCCTGGGTGGCTCAGTCAGTTGAGCGACTGCCTTCAGCTCAGGTCATGATCCCAGGGTCCTGGGATTGAGTCCCACATCGGGCTCCCTGCTCTGCGGGGAGCCTGCTTCTCCCTCTCCCACTCCCCCTGCTTGTGTTCCCTCTCTCGCTGTGTCTCTCTCTGTCAAATAAATAAATAAAATCTTTAAAAAAAAAGAAAGAAAATAGGGGCGCCTGGGTGGCTCAGTCATTAAGCATCTGTCTTAAGCTCAGGTCATGATCCCAGCGTCCTGGGATCGAGCCCCACATCGGACTCCCTGCTCAGCAGGGAGACTGCTCCTATCTCTCTCTGTCAAATAAATAACTAAAATCTTTAAGCAAAAAAGAAAGAAAGAAAATAAACTGCCAACCAGGAAAAAATACTTTCATAAATGAAAGTGAAATAAAAGACATTTTCTAGTCAACAAAAAAAGAGTTCACCACCAGCAGACTCATGCTAAAAGGAATTTCTAAAGGCAGGGAGTTACTCTTAAAAATATAAGGAAAGGAGGTCAAATAATGTAACTAATATATGGATAAAGCAAAATGAATACTGACTATATATAACAACTGATGTATTTAAATATATGTTAATATTTACATACATATTCTATTATAATACATTATAAAAATAGCATATAAATAAGTAAATGAATTTAAGGTGTTCTAAATTCTGTACATTGGGAAAAGGATAAAGCTACCGATTTACACTAGACTTTGAGCAAAGGTAGAATATGACCTAATTGTGCAAGATAAATGTAGAAGATTAAAAGCTCCTAGAAGATAACATAGAAGAGTATCTTTATGGCTCTGAGATAGGAAAATATTTCTTTTTTTTTTTTTTTTAAAGATTTTATTTATTTATTTGAGACAGAGAGAATGAGAGAGAGAGAGAGAGCACATGAGAGGGGGGAGGGTCAGAGGGAGAAGCAGACTCCCCGCCGAGCAGGGAGCCCTATGCAGGACTCGATCCAGGGACTCCAGGATCATGACCTGAGCCGAAGGCAGTCGCTTAACCAACTGAGCCACCCAGGCGCCCGAAAATATTTCTTAAATAGGACCCAAAAAGTACTAATCATAAAGGAAGGGACTGGTAAATCAATTACATTAAAATTAGAGACAGTTCATCTAGATACTAGAGTGAAAAGCCAGAGCAGAGTGGGAAAAGATATTTGCAACACATATAACTAACAAAAGACTCATATCCATGTCTACAAATAAGTAAGAAAAAGACTCATAACCCAGTGGAAAATTGAGCAAGAGATTTAACCAAAGTATTTCCAAGAGAGGAAATCCAAATTATCTTAAATGTAATATAATGAGCTCAATCTCAGGCATCAGAGGAATGCATATTAAAACCAAAATAAGATACCATTACACACCTCCCAACACAATGGTTTAAATTTTAAAAACTGATAATACCAGCTCTTGATGTGGAGTAGCAGGAACTCTCTTACTGGGCTAGTGGGAATACAAATCAGAACAATAATTTTGGAAAACAGTCTGGCAAACCCTATAAATAGCAGCAATTCTGCTCATGTATGCTAGACATGTATTCATGGCAGTATTCTCAATGGCCCAAAACTAGAAATAAGTCAGTATCAACAGTAAAAGGGATGGATTATGATGTATTCCTACAATGAATATTCGGCAATGAACTCTACTGTACTCCCAAGAAATGAATAAATCTTACTACATGAAGTTGAACAACAGAAACAAGACAAAAATCATACATGCTATAGGATTCCATGTATATGAAGCACAAAAAGGCTAAAACTAACACATGATGTTAGACATCAGGATAATGGCTACCTTTGGGGAGGAGAAAGGAGTGTGTGGTAATTGGGAGAAGCACAAGGATTTGTAATGTACCATATTTCTTGATCTGAGTGGTGGTCACGTAAGTGTGTTCACTCTGATCATTCATCAAGCTATATACTTGTGTGTATTTTTTGTGTGTAGTTTAACTTCCAATTTTAAAAAGTTGCTTTAAAAAATGTAATTGAGAGGCGCCTGGGTGGCTCAGTCGGTTAAGCGTCTGCCTTCAGCTTAGGTCATGATCCCAGTGATCACATCAGGCTCACTGCTCAGTAGGGAGCCTGCTTCTCCCTCTCCCTCTCCCCCTGCTTGTGTTCTCTCTCTCTCTCTGTGTCAAATAAATAAATAAAATCTTTTAAATAAATAAAAAATGTAATTGAGAGAGTACCCAGTGATACATGAGATTTATAAGGATCCAAATACACAGAAATATCCTCTTGAGAATGATATTAAAGAGAGCCTCTCTTCATATTGGTGGTAGTGGTTGTTGTTTACCTGTCTCTCTCTCCTCTTCTTGGGGCAGGGCCTATGTCTTCACCTCTGCCTGACAGAGTAGATTCTGAGTGTGGGATCCACGAAATCATGTGGTAACAGGAGAAATGTGTTCTGTCCCCAGGTTAAGAAAACGACCGAAGCCACCTTGCAGACCATACAAGATATGGTCACCATCGAGGACTACGATGTCTCTGAATGCTTCCAGCACAGCCGTTCCACAGAGTCTGTGAAGTCCACGGTCTCCGAGACCTACCTGAGTAAGCCCAGCATTGCCAAGAGAAGAGCAAACCAGCAGGAGACGGAGCAGTTCTACTTCATGGTACGTCTGTCGCTTCCCAGACGCTCTTGGGGCTCAGATCTGGGGTCCCCAAACACAGCTTCTAGAGTTGGATTGGAATCACCTGGGTTCTTTATTAAAATACAGACTCCTAAAAAAAATAAAAAATAAATAAAAATAAAAATAAAAAAAATACAGACTCCTGTCTGCCCTCGGAGTTCCCAATTCTGTTCGTCTGAGATAGGATCTAGGAGTTAGTACTTTTGTAAAAGTTCCTCAGATTTAAAGAGGGCTGCTCTAAGACCACTTTTAAACTTTAACGTACATACATTTCACCAGGAGAGCTTGTTAACATGCGGGTTCTGATTCCAGTAGGTCTGGGGAAGGAGGGACCTGGGAGTCTGCATCCCTGATAGGCTCCCAGATGATGGCAGATAATGCTGGTCTGCATCAGACTGCACTCAGGAGTAGCAAGGTTCTAGAATCTAGCAGGTAAAAGTGGCTGGATTTTAGATATCCTGTGGGAAGTTCCCTGACATGAAATATATTTTAAGTTAAAAACGAATCTTTCCTTTTGCAGAAACTCAGAGAATATTTGGAAGGTAGTAATCTCATCACAAAACTTCAAGCCAAACATGACTTGTTGCAGAGGACCCTTGGAGAAGGTCAGTTATTTGAAGCAGACAGGGAGGATGACATGGATTTTGTATTGTGTCACATAGCTATTCCATGAAGAGTGTGAGTTGTGGATTTGGGTTTTAAGAAGCAGAGAACACTGCTTGTTTAGATTGGGCTTTTGCTGTAACTGTAATAATCAGGTTCTCCCTGGAACTCTAGCTTGCTGCTAATAACCTTGAGGAAGAATAGTGAAATCTGCGGCGGGCTGAAAAGCCAGCCCAGACTCCTAAGGAACACTTTGCCCAGCCTGGTGCTCCTAACACCTGGTGCCCCTAATGGGGAGAAGACTGGGTGGAGCTGCACCTGCGCCCACCTGCTGACCTCCCAGCCACTGCTTCCTTACCCTCTGGGACCTGTCCAACCTTCCAGCTCCACCCCCTTTGGTTTAGTGGGCCAGTATTTATTGTCACATCTAATGCCTTCGTGGACTCTAGGAACCAGTTAAACCAGTTTGGGCGACTTTTTTTTTTTTCTTTCCACAGACATTGATTTTACTTGAGAAAAAAAATCTAATGAGGTATACTGCTGTAGCTAATAATAACACGCAAGAATAGCTATCACTTCTACAGGGCTTTTTCTGTGCTAGGCATTGTTCTAAACTATATATTGAGCTGGGCTATAACTTTCCCCATTTTTACAGATGAGAAAAACAATGGGGAAAAAAGGATTATATTTTAAAAGGGACTGTGTAAATGTTACTCTTTCTCTTTTAATCTTCTTGAAATTTAAAAGGAAAAAATAAATACAAGCAAAGTCCCTTTTTTAAGTGCCTCATAGTCTGTAACTTTATCTTTTATTCACACTAGATCTTGCCAGAAGTTATAAAAAGTGAAAGAGAATACAGATGGGAGTGGGAAATGAGGGGAGAGAGGTGTGTAACTCAGGCCAAAAAGAGATTGCTGCTCTTTGACCTAAACTCTACCCCCTACCATTCTAGAACCTTCCTACAGACAAGGCGGTTTTTTCATCACCTTATCTCCTGGTTTCCTCCAAAGGACACATTATCCTCAGGGAATGAACACTCGGAGAAAGGTCATTATGACCTAAGGCTCCATGTATTACAGTTAGGATGCCAGATTCTAAGATAAAAGGCTGATTTCATTTAGAAAAATAATTAACATTTAAACTACTAGGAAGTGTCTTAAATAAAATAACCAAACACAATATGTGAACTTTCATTAGATTTTGAATCAAAAAAGCAAGTTACAAAAGGCATTTTAAGGATAATTGGGGAAATTTAAATATAGACAGACTGTATATTAAATGACATTATTGAATTCATTTTCTGAGATATGACAGTGGTATGATTATGAAGGAGAAGATTCTTATTTTTTTTTTTTAAGATTTTATTTATTTATTTGAGAGAGAGAGAATGAGAGAGAGAGAGCATGAGAGGGGGAGGGTCAGAGGGAGAAGCAGACTCCCTGCCGAGCAGGGAGCCCGATCCGGGACTTGATCCCAGGACTCCAGGATCATGACCTGAGCTGAAGGCAGTCGCTTAACCAACCGAGCCACCCAGGCGCCCCAAGATTCTTATTCTTAAGAAATGTTTGCTAAGGGGCGCCTGGGTGGCTCAGTCGGTTAAGCGTCTGCCTTTAGCTCCGGTCATGATCCCAGGGTCCTGGGATCCCTCCCCTCAGCGGGGAGCCTGCTTCTCCCTCTCACTCTGCCTGTCGCTCCTCCTGCTCATGCTCTGTCTCTCTCTGTCAAATAAATAGATAAAAATCCTTTTTTTTTAAAGTGGCAATATTAAGAAAATGAAAATCATAATTGAAGTTAAAAAAAAAGAAATGTTTGCTAAGTATCATAATATCTGCAAATTACTTTCAATCGATCCAAGAGAAAAGATAGAGAGGGAGAGAAAAGGAAATAAGGCCAATATGGCAAAATGTTAACAGTTGGGAAATCTCAGTGAAGGGTAGCCCTGTACAAGGTTTTCAACTCTTCTATAATGGAGGTTGGAATTTTTTTTAAAAAACCTTTTTTTTCCTTTGAATAGTTGTCTTACCTCAACAATCATGTCCCAGTTTTTTTTCTTTTCTCCTTCATAGTATCATGTAAGATCATTTTTTCCACCTACCACAAAATGCCTGATATTTCAGTGATGCCCCCAAGGTCAGGTGCCGGTCCCAAAGCAGAAATTATCATTAAGTGTTTTGACGAATGCTTACTGGCACAAAGCCCTTCCCTGCAGGACTGGATACCACGTTAGAAATCGTGAGTTGGACGCAATTAAGTAGTGGGTGAATTCATTCTTGGCATGCGTGCAGACACATGTGTTAATTCACTTGGGGTCCCATTCTGAAACTTTTATGATACTCATTCTACATAGATTCCCCGACGTCTCCTGGAGAGAAAACCCTCGCGGTTCATACGATTTTACATGGCATTATCGGATAGGGCTCTATTTTAGCGACTTACTGACTCCATGTGCCAGATTCCGTCATTAGCTGCTGTACTGTGTAAAGCTGTATTGTACCTTGGGAACTCTGAGCCAGGATTTCTTTATCTTGGAATTTCTCTCACTGGGTTCCAGTATCATAGTGACACAAGCCGGGTTCAGGGGTACCAGGCCTTCAGCAGATTGGATTTATTCAGAAACTGGATGGTTCTCAGACACACTAGCCTCTGCCCACACGCTGCAAACCTTCCTGCCCCCCGCCCTGCCCCACGTGCAGGCTTGGCAGCATACCACACACCGGGCACTGCCCGGGCTTCTTGCTGGCAGCGTTGCCCAGAGAAAGGGTGAGCCTGCCCCCACCTTCTAGCTCAACCCTTGTGAGCCTGCTGTCCTTCCGTGCAAGCCCTGTTCGAGTTAATAGGCTTAAACCAAAAGAGACGAGGAAAGTTCCTGGTGCCTGTCCCACGATGAGATAATCGGGGAGTCCTTCTGAAGGAATCCAAGTCTGGGCTTAGTGAAATAAGGTTAGTAGCACAGGATTCGATGGTGTGTTTGGGGACAGTCGTGACTTTTTATAGAGAGATCACATCTCTGAATTATACTAGAATCACTGCTGCAAAAACTGCCTTCGTAGTAAAACAAATAGGGCCTAACCCAGGGATTTAGCAGTTGATCGTACACAGCTGAAACTGTAACTACAGACATGTGTTTGGCCTGTCTTACCGCTTGCTTTTGGCAGCCTACCAGAGGCCCAGTAAGTCCTTTGATTTACAACATTGTGAAGCAACTAGATTGGGCTCTTAAAGGCGCACTGTCAAAATTCAGAATTCCACATCTCTGAAAACTGTTGAAATAAAAAGAAACACATAATGAGTTGTTAAGACCAAAGTCATCAACTTCATCATCCTTCAGCAACACCATTATAAAGTGATGTCATTTGTTTTTCATTTGGAGAAGTTACATCAACACAGTAAATGAGATCTACATCAGTAAAACTGAGGCACTGAAATTGTTTCTTTTTCTTTTAATAAGCCTTCATGTTCACACTGGCTTCTTTATGTGCAACATTTGTAGTTAAGGGGAAGGGGGTGTAAATATCAGTGCAGTTTTCACTAAACACAGAAAATCTGACATTGGAAGCAGAGTTCCATGTTAGATTGTTTCTAGTCCTGGGCATAAGTTTTCTGACGAAGAAATTAAATGGCTTATCGTCATTGAATCCATTGTCTGTCTTTGAGTAGGAGCACAAACATACTTTTAAAAGAGAAGCTGATAGTGAATAATTATGTTTTTTAGAAAAGCAATGTATCCTTAAGGAAGAAAAAGGACTGAAAAGTAATGCCAGGAGTCCTTATCAGTCATTCATTAGGGACCCAATTCCGGGTGCCTCTGTCCAGTTTGAGCTGTGCACATTTTAAATATTTCATCTAGTTGGGTTTTCTTTTTTTAATCTCAGATTGCCACCACACTGTATTTTCGTTTTCCCTTTTAGTCTGTGGTGGTAAACTACATTTGAGTATGAAAAATAATTCACTTCTTAATTCTCAAGTGAAATGACCGGAGTAGTCAAAGTAGGTGTTTGTAGCAAGAACAAGATAATCCTGGATCATGGGTCATTTTTTGCCTCCAAATGGCTTATATTGTGGGATGGGGAGGGGGGTGAGGGAAGAAATTGTCTGTTGTTTTTAATAATTAAATAGCCTTCCAAAGAAAGTGATTGAAATCTAATCCTCAAACCACTGGAAGCTTTCACATTTCTCGGGGAAGCAGATTCTTCTAAGCTTGTGTGTTATTGATCTATTAATGATGATACTGATTAAAAAATAAAACCTCATTCATCAGTTGAGGCACAGTACTATTAGCTGAACAAAACGATGGATGTGGTGGTGGCAGTTACACTATGAATGATAGTTCTTGAGAAGCTTGCTCTTGGCTCATTAATCAAAATGTATCTTTTATAGGTTTTTAATTTTTTATCTCATACTATTAACCATGGATGGATGGAGCAAAATGATTTTAAGCCATTTAATATGTGATCTTTTTCTAAATCTAGAGAATCTTTGCTTGGGATATTTTAACAAAAGTAGCAAAACTTCAAAGTTCTAGAAAACATTTCATTTCTAAGGCGTTATTAGTCTTTATCATTGAATCCCTTGAAAGTGATTAACCTCCATTATCCAGTTTAATTTTGTAGATACTTTAAATTTTTATTTTACTTTTTAAAGATTTTATTTTTAAGTAATCTCTACACCCAACATGGGGCTCAGACTTACAACCCCGAGATCAAGAGTGGCACACTCTACTGACCAAGCCAGCCAGGCGCCCCAGGACTTTTAAATTTTTAACTTAATGTGTGTTATATAATTTTAACTTAATGTGTGTTATATAATCTAGTACATCTTTAGCATTTTGTATTTGATTTTAGCCATATGGGGGAGACAGAAGTGTAAGCCATAATCCCTACCCTTCTTTTTAGGATCTTTCAAAGTATTTGCTGGGGAATAAGACTTATATTTTTACGATATATTACTTGGGAGCTCAGGTCTAGAATTAAAACAAACCTGATCAAAATAGCACCAACATTTTTCACAGAACTAGAACAAACAATCCTAAAATTTGTATGGAACTACACAAGACCCCAAATAGCCAAAGTAATGTTGAAAAAGAAAAGCAAAGAGGAAGACATCACAATCCTAGACTTCAAGCTGTATTACAAGCTGAAATCATCAAGACAATATGGTACTGGCACAAAAACAGACACAGAGATCAATGGAACAGAATAGAGAACCCAGAAATGGATCCACAAATATATGGTCAGCTAATCTTCAACAAAGCAGGAAAGAATATCCAATCAAAAAAAGGCAGTCTCTTCAACAAATGGTGTTGGGGAAACTGGACAGCGACATGCAGAAGAATGAAACTGGACCACCTTCTTACACCATACACAAAAATAAATTCAAAGTGAATGAAAGACCTAAATGTGAGACAGAAGACCATCAAAATCCTAAAGAACAATACAGGCAGCAGCCTCTTTGACCTTGACCTCAGCAACTTCTTCCTAGACACATCTCCAGAGGCAAGGGAAACAAAGGCAAAAATGAACTGTTGGGACTTCATCAGGATAAAAAGCTTCTGCACAGCAAAGGAAACAATCAACAAAACTAAAATGCAGCCTATGGAATGGGAGAAGATATTTGCAAATGATGTATCAGATAAAGGACTAATATCCAGAATCTATAAAGAACTCATCAAAATTGGGGCACCTGGGTGGCTCAGTCATTAAGCATCTGCCTTCAGCTCAGGTCATAGTCCCAGGGTCCTGGGATCGAGCCCCACTTTGGGCTCCCTGCTCAGCGGAAAGCCTGCTTCTCCCTCTCCCCCTTCCCCTGCTTGTGTTCCCTCTCTCGCTGTCTCTCTCTGTCAAATAAATAAAATCTTAAAAAAAAAAAAAAACTCATCAAAATCAACACCCAAAAAATAAATAATCAGTAAAGAAATGGACAGAAGACATGAACAGACATTTCTCCAAAGAAGACATACAAGTGACTAACAGACACATGAAAAAATGTTCAGTATCACTCAGCATCAGGGAAATACAAATCAAAACCTACCACCTGTCAGAAAGGATGAAATCAACAGTAAACAGCAGATGTTCGTAAGGATGCAGAGAAAGGGGAACCCTTTTGCACTATTAGTGGGAATGCAAACTGGTGCATCCACTCTGGAAAACAGTGGGGAGGTTCCTCAAAAAGTTAAAAATAGAGCTACTCAAAGACCCAGAAATTGCACTATTAGATATTTATCCAAAGGATAAAAAAATGTTGATTTGAAGGGGCACATGTACCCCAGTGTTTATAGCAGCATTATCAACAATAGCCGAATTATTTTATTGGGAAAGAGCCCAAATGTCCATTAACCGATGAATGGATAAAGATGTGGTATATATATGCAATGGCATATTACTCAGCCATCAGTAAGAATGAAAACCTGCCATTTGCAACAATGTGGATGGAACTAGAGGGTATTATGCTAAGCAAAATATGTCAAAGAGACAAATATCATCTGATTTCACTCATGTGGAATTTAAGAAACAAAACAGATGAACATAGGGGAAGGGAAGGAAAAATAAAATAAGATAAAAAACAGAGGAAGGCAAACCATAGGAGACTCTTCACTATAGAGAACAAACTGAGGGTTGCTGGAGGGGAGGTGGGTGGGGGATGGGCTAAATGGGTGATGGCACTAAGGAGGGCACTTGCTGGGGTGAGCACTGGCTGTTAATTGTAAGTGATGAATCACTAAATTCTCCTGAAACCAATATTACACCATATATTAACTAACTTGAATTTAAATTTAAAAAATAAAAAAGATTTGTATATTTATGGGTGGAAAAAAAAAAACCTGGACCCTAGGGCCAAATGCGTCACATACTAACAGTGTGACCTTGAGCAAGTCACAGTAACTTGCCTCCTACATGCTTGGTCTCTTCCATAAAATAAAAATAACAGTACCTGCTTTATAAGGTTTTGTGAAAATTGTGAGTTAATGTATAGAAGGTGCTTAGAACAGTGTCCAAGTGTTGGACATCATTGCTGTTTTTATTGTTGTTAGTAGTATATTTTGTGTCATACTTGTGTGAGAATAAAGTATGCAGCATGACAGAATACAGTACAGTACAAGCCTGTTAGTTTCTCTGTCCTCAGAGAACCTTTTGCTCATTCTCCTGACTCACCCTGCGTGATCTCAGCTAGGTCCCGTGGCCCCAGAACAACCTAAATGGTGGTGACTGTCAAATCTTAATCTCCAGCCCTGTCTTGTCTCTGTGCTTTAATCATGTACAGCCAGCTTCCTGCTGAAGGATATCCTGGAAGACACCACTTCCTAGGAGACCATCTCTCCCACTTAAGAACAGCTAGAAATTATTCTGGAGTTCTCTGTCCACCTTCTCCTTTTTCTTGTCCCGCAAAATAGCAGAAGGCCAGAAGAAGGAAGGGAGTTAGAGTTAAAGGATATACAGAACTGGGTAGTGGGGGAAACCAGATTTTTCCCCTTTCCTCCCACCCCCACTCCGAGTCAGGGCCCAGCACTGATTCTAGTAGACCTAACAGTGGCCTGAGTCTGGGTTGAGGAAGGTATTCTCTGATATTAACTGTCACCCCCCTCTTAACAAATAGAACATTAATCAAATCCTTTGTTTCTTATTCTTCAAAAGCAGGTAATAGAGTAAAAGACTCTGTTGCCTTGGAGGGTTCATTCACCATTTCCAGCAAGCCAGCTTTCTCTACAGATGTTATACTGGCCTCGTCCCACAAATCTGAATCACTGATAGGATGGGCTGGGCGTACCTGTTTGTGCTGCAGCGTGAACCTTCTCTGCTAGCTGTAACTTCAGGCTGTTTCAGGAGCACAATATCATTTTGCAGACAAACCGGTGGAATGGTTCTCTCTTCCAAACCCCTCCCACAGCTCCACCCGAAATGTGAGAAAAAGCAGACAGCAACCACAGCCACCTTCACACTTGGAATTAGCACAGATTGTAGGAGCACTATGAAAATACAGAGCCAGTGTTTAAAACCAGTCAAGAAGCCCGAAGATATAAGAAACTCATGTTTTAAATGACAGGGAACTCTGAAAGGCTGTTAGCTTACAGGTTATAGAATGTAGCATAATTTAATGTCCTTGTACTTAATACCTGCCAGTGTCATTTCTGATTATAAAATGCAACTTCTCACCTGACTGCATATTACAGAAAGAACACCAACTTAATATAAAGGAAATTGAGTTTTCCCACCCTATCTGACTACCTTTTAACCCAAGTATCTATCAAGACAGAGGAAATAACTAA